CTTTTAACTCGCTTGTTGCTCTACATTTTCCTCATAATTTGTCCTTTCAACTATCTTTTACCTTCTTTCCTTTTCTTGGATGACAAGACGCCTTTTTACCTTCATTTCCAGTATTTCTCTCTCTAACTTTATTTTTATCTCGCTTGTTACTCTACACTTTCCTCATCATTTTCCTTTCAACTTGCTCTTCGTCCAATAAAACTCAAAAGTATTAAATAAGGATAAACAAACTCAACTGTCTGTCCCGTCCGTGTCATAAACGAGACTTCGAGAATCTTTTATTAGGGTGTCCCGTATCGGACGGAACAGACAGTCCGAGAATTCTCGGCGCGCGACCGGTAAACGTTATCATCAATCGATGCCAAGAACCGGCAGCGAATCAGCCCGCGTCTGTTCCCTAATTGCGGCCGCGTGCCGTCGCGCATGTCCCACGACGATCGTCGGTTTACCCCTTGTCGGGCCTTTGAGCCAGCCACCGCGCCGCCCGGCTCCCCACTAATTCTGTTAACTTCGAACGATGACGTCTCGCGATTAATAGACCGCGGGTATCTGGTAAGCCGCTTTCCCGGCCGGCCGGAACCATCGAGCCGGAAGGGCGCCGCATAAAAATGGAAAGCGCGAGCCGATCCTGCCTCTCTGCTCCGGACTGTCCGTCTCGCGGACGACGGGGCTAGTGCCATTTGAAATTCTATTAAACCGGTCGATGCTCGGCTACTGCTTCATATTAACTTCGTACCGGGAATATTGAATGTATTACGGGGCAACAAGCTGATATTATACATCCGACCGAATGGTTCGCTCCGTACCCCGCCGCGGCAGCATAGGGGCGGTACAATGCTGAAGCTCGAACGAAATCGCTAAATACTATCGGGGGATTATTTGTTCGGCTATTGAAACTAGGCAGTATTTTTGGAAAATAGGATATTGACTTTAGAGTAATATAATATAGTTGATGATATTTTAGGAAGAATGTTAGAATTAATGGGGTTCTCTTTGTCTTTCAATGGAATATTTTCAATGGAGTATTTTTGGAAAATAGAATATTGACTTCAGAGTAAACTGGAGTATTTTTGGAAAATAGAATATTGAATGGAGTATTTTAATACTTCGATGGAGTGTTTTGGAAAATAGAATATTGATTTCAGAGTAATATAATATAGTTGATGACATTTTAGGAAGAACGTTAAACGAGTTAATGGGGGTCTCTTTATCTTTCAATGGAATATAAAATAATTTAATGTTTATCTTCGTTTGGGAGAGAATAAATATTTATTATACGACGTAGCAAGGTATGGAAATATCACGGTGGAGATTATATTGGATTATATTCGATAAATATACAACTTGAATGGGCAAGAATGTTTATTCTGAGGAATTGTTTAGAAAAGAGAAATTAAGGGCTGCTGTTTATTCGCAAAGTCTGAGACCGTTTTATGTCATAGTAGAGGGACGTAGGGGTTGGTAAACGTTGGACCTTCTGTCTACGCGTTTTTTCTTCACTCGTACAGTCGTTGAACTTTCCGTTTAGACCACTTAGAATTCTCACTGAGAAACGAGTTTTCGAAAAATTTTCCAAATATGATTTCATACTATTGGAAAATTGGAACGTACTGGAATGAACTGAATGGAAAGACAAAAAACAGCACGGAACGTGTTAAAAGAAACTAGCGTTTTAATTGCAGCATTTCCAACAGATTACCGATCACGGTATTTTCGAATATCTGATCGTTTCCTCGAGACAATATTTTATTTTCCCGTGTTCGAAGCGTGGATTGAAAGTCGAACGTATGTGTAAACGGACAAATACTGATCGAGAATGTGTGCGTAGATGTATAAAGATATGAATAAACCGTTGTCGTATATTCCTACGCGACTCATTAAGGTATTTCCTACGTGCAATTAAATAAATATTATAGCTGATGGTCGGTTCGTTTATCGAGCACTTTTCGTCGGGAGTACGATAAACCGGGTTCCCTAATGTATAATTTCGGCGTCGGTATTCCTGCGGACGGTGACACCGGTGACCCCTTTCTATCGCGAGCGACGGCGGCGGCGGGTAAGGTTAAAACGGAGTTAAGTAGAGCAAGTAAGTCGCTTATCAGCCAAGTAGGACGGGGTAAACTCTTGTTGGACAAGTAGAGGCGGCGTGTTACCTATCAGACTGTTGGAACAAAGACATTCCGGCGGGCGCAGGTGAAATGGGTACGATTTCGATCAGACAAAGGGAATGCAGACGGCCGTGACCGGACAAGTAAGAAAGCCATTGGTCAGCCGTATGGAACACAGACGCGGCTGTTAAGATAAGTAGAGTAGCCTGTTCACGATCAGACCAGTGTAACAGAGAAGTTGCTCGTCGTTCGAGTAAAGCAGAAGTTGTAGCAATCGTTCGAGCACGGTGTAATTAACTTCGGTGAGTTACGTATAATGGGGATTATCTTAATTGCACGCGTACAACGTCGAGAATCTTCGGTTGAGACATGGATACTTTGAGTTAGCGTGTGGAAATCTAGTTTTTCAATGGTTCATATTGAACCTGCGTTGGATTCAATGTTTCTGTTAAGTAGTATTGGTATGCGTCTGATCAGACTATACAATTATTTTAAATGGAAGAGAATTGAAATGATTTTTTGAGTCTACCAATGTTTTGAGATATTTAAGTGCCTGGAATATTAATTATTGTTTCTTGAAGAATAGTAATTGTGTGAATAAAGATTATTTATATTAATTTAGTTCCTGTGTGTAAGTAGTATTGGTATGTGTCTAATCAGACTACTATATAAAATTATTTTAAATGAAAGGAAATTGATGTAAATGATTCCTCGAATCTACAAGCGCTTATAAGATATTTAAAAAGTGCCTAGAATATTAATTATTGTCTCTCGAAAAATAGACAATTATTGACTATCTCAATGAAGATTGTTTATCTTTTTGATCGATACTATCGACGACTTTTTCATCGATTAGAAATATTATTTCTCAGACGAAGCTATTGGACATGAATACAAATACACTTCATTAAATTATTCTTTATTATTTCGTATTCACCTCAACTCCTTCAATGTATCTTGTCGCAATCGTTCACTAGCGCACGGATGTTCCTCTCGACGGGGCAGGCCCACGTCCACGGCACGGTACGCGATCGTGTGGTGTTGCATAACGTCCGTGGTGTCGTTTCCTTCTCCGCCCTGGTTATGGCACACGAGGGGCGCGTATCTGCTGACCGGTTCGATGTAAATCTCATCGGAGGCCGTAAAGATCGTTCCATCGAAGAGACCGTCCTCAGTCACGACACCGTGTACAGATGAATTCTCGTCGTCTGGAACATAAAAATAACATACATTATTTCCAAGCCTCCCGTAACTGCTCGTGACACGTACTAAATCCAATATCTTCACCAATAACGATCGCAATCCGTTATCCAATACAATCGATCCTCAACCACAAATTATTCTACTAAATCTCATCAACTCAATAACAGTAACACCTACATTCCACTGAACGTTACATCCAAATTATCGATTACCAATCAAAATCTATCGTCTCTAATATCTAATCTAATAAATCCAATATCACCAACAATATTCATCAATCCAACGCAATAGATTCCCAATGAAAAATCATTCAACCGAATATTTAGCAATCTCCACTGAATTCTATATTCCCCATTGACCCTTTACACTCCGAATTTTCAATATAACCTTCTAGCAGCTCCGAATCATTTTTACTATGAGCTACCAACTACTCTAGGAATGTTTACAATCAACAAATACTTCTATGAAAGATTCTCCTGCATTGTCATTAAAAAACACGTACAGGTTTAAAAATAACGTTTCACTAAGAACGGAGTTATAAATCTATTTTACAATGGACAACGGAGTGCAAACGGTTAACACGTTCAGTTCCACATGTACACAATTTTTGTAAAAAAATATTTTCAAGGAACACATGGTCACGAATAGTGGTACGCGTTACAAAGCACCGAAACCATACAGCAACAATATGAAAATCTATAAAAACGACCAAAAACTTGAATGTAACTTAATATTTTATTTAAACAACCACTACAGTGCATAAGTAAAATATAACCTAAACTTCCGTCGCACGGAACGCGTTAACCTTCTATGGGCCGAATTTTTGTTCATGGTTATAACAAAATCTATGCTGTGCAAAATTAATAAACATTCACATATGAATACGGATTAACAATGTATTCAATAGTTTCAATAATTCCATGCAATTTCATCCTTTCGCGCTTGGGCATGTAAAAGTTTAAGTTAACTGATTACTGAATTTTATTCACCACCTTGAGTGCAAAATGAAATGAATCAACAAGATGTCAATATACTGATATGAGACTTCAAAGTTACATAAGCCTACAGAGGGTTAACACTATTTCTACCAACGGTGTCAAAAGATACCATTTGAAATTTTACTAAATTTTATTAACCGTACATTCTAAATTGACTTTTCAACTTTTCCAATAACGATTACGAAATGGTCCATAGAAAATGTCCAAAATTCAATTGAGAAAAAATGATTAAACCGAGGATACAATATTAACTAGATAACTCTGGAATTTAGTTGGAAAAACCTCTGGTTCTGCGCGCAATAAAATCGAAAAATGGAGCGTGTACTCGTCGAACGCTGGACGAATGCGCGTAGAATATATTTTAATGAAAAATCAAAGCGAAACAAAGAAGAATTACATGTTTATGTGAAAAAATAAAGAATTCATCGCTGAAAAGAATTAGTATCCTGTCAAGCTTTTCAATGACATGTATACTCGTCACATGCAGTTCACACGTTGAATGCCGCACGATTTCATAGCGGAAAAAATTAAATATTAAATTATTCAATTGAATTGCATTACTATAACTGCACGTCCATCTAGCTGAACGTCATTAGATAGTATTATTTATAATATAGAAATATTTTCGAATAATCATCGTTTAACACTAGGTTCACGGGCATTTATTGTACACTTCATTCTATTATTCCTAAAAGAATTGATGCTCGTTTGTTTAGATTGTGGAAACTGGAGATTTGATAGTAGGTAATTGGGGTACATGTCAGTGTGATCGCATCAATCAAAATCGGCGTAAACATTTACAAAATAATATTTCTAAACTCCAATATGCGTCAATTTGACGCGTTCCGTAAACCTAATGTTAATTGAGCGAACTAAAGTAAGTCGATTCGATTGGGGGTCACCGGTGACCCGCAGGGCATTCAAAGTGTTTGGTTAAGTTAAAATTTCAGAAATCTATTGACACCATCGGTAGAAATAGTGTTAATAGCTCTCGCATTCCATGGAATCGTCGATTCGAATGCTCGCTCCAAGGGAAATTTAACGTTTCCTATGTATCGTGGTCAAGCTCTCGATTCCGTCCACGATCCCCCGAACGATCCTTTTCGATATTCCTTTTCGATGCTCCTCGAATCCCTTTTGTCCGTGAAGGACTTGAACTCTATGCGGGTGAACAACGCGGCCGATAGCCCGCGGAATAACCGTTGGCATGCCTCTCGAGTCACCTCAGCCATCTTTTCCCACGAACGCCGGGGCTGTGCTCGTAAATCGCGAGATTTACGCGTGCAAAAACCGCGTATGAGGAAATCGGCGTTTATATCACGTTTCCTCGCGCCGGCGTCGTCGTCCCCTCCCCACGCAACCTGTGCCCGACGTAACTGCGAATTTATATTCGGTTGATTCGTTGCATCATCGTAACGTATCAGATCGTCGATGCATCGAAGGGCGCCGCATGTGTGATTCGATCGTTCCGGTTTTACGGGCTCCTATTCGCCGTTCGCGCTCCACCTCTTTGGTTCTTCACGCTGGACGAGATATCGCGCGGAGAGTCCGAGGAGGATATCCCGAGCGGAAATATTCCGTTCCCGAAGTGGGGGACTTTTCACGGTCTCGGCTACCGGACGAGTCAGACGTGGGATCTATTTCGGGACATGTCTGAGATAAGAATGAAGTATTCGTCTGGGCTCGGGGGAAAGCTGGGGGCGAGTCTGATTGGAGATGGACGAAGGTTATAATGGTGATGTTTGGGAGAATGGAAGTCTGTGATGGTGATGGCTCGAAGAACTTTTTATTTGTGGTTTTAATGCTTTAAATTGGAGTTTGTGGCTTTGATGTGTTGAGAAATGAAGGTTTGTAGTTTTGATATTTTGGAAAATTGGAGTTTCTGATTTTAATGTTTTTGAAGCATTTGGAATTGCTAATTTTAATGTATGTGAAGATAGTTGTAATGGTGATGTTTGGGAGAATGGAAGTTTGTGATGGTGATGGCTCGAAGAATTTTTTATTTGTGGTTTTAGTGTTTTAAATTGGAGTTTGTGGATTTGATATGTTAAGAAATAAAAGTTTGTGGTTCTTGTAATTTGTAACATTGAAAGTTTTAATTCTAATATTTCGATACATTTGAAGTTCCTAATTTTTGAAAGTGTGCAGATTGAGTTAGACTAAGAGTTACATTAGAATTAAGGTTAAAATTAATTGTGACTTCAAATTATAGCCGAGTTCGGTAAGATTTACGCTCACGTAAAACCCGAGTTAGCAATGAATCAAATCCAAATGGTAACATAATTAGAACGGAATGATGTTTAGATTAAACCAAAATTAGTCATGAACCAGTTACCGAAGTCTAGATCACGATTGAATTTAATCCGAGATATGATCAGGTTAAATTTGAGTTAGTCACGAACTGATTTAGGTCAGAGGCATGTTCACGCTAGGTCCGAGTTAGTGAATAGTCGCTTAAATGGCTCGCCACAGGACAAATTACACGGTGAACGAAAACTTTCAGCGATGCAATGTCGCGTGTGGGCGCGGCGGCCACGCAAATGCGCATCGATGTTTAATTGCATTTTAATATCCCGACTAAACGACTGCATACGTTCCCTCCCCTTGTTACAGCGGTCATGTATTATTCATTGCTCAATATTTACTCGACGTTTACCGTGAGTAAATGAGGCCACTTGCATGAATTTAACGCGATTCGTACAATCGCTCAATTGAAAGTACCAGAAGAAAATGAACGATCACTATGAAAATCATATTTCCATTGAATCAGAGTATTATAAAACTCGATAATCAATCGAATATTTATTACCGTCAATAGTCCAAATACGTTGTAATCAATCTCGTTAACAAAAGCCCTAACCAAATTCGAACAAAACAATAAAAACCAAAACAGCAGTAACTATTATAGACAAATCAAATTTAATATGTTGAGTGTCGCACGATTTTGCTGAGAAAAATATACAAAATGAAGATAATGTGATATCAACTTGTATAATTGAATTAGGTTATTATTATTGCAGGTTTGAATTGTTGAATGTCAGTGCATTAAGTAGTATTACTTATAATATAGGAAAGTTTTCAAATAATCATCGTTGAATCGAATGAATTATAGTAATTCGATTTGATTGGGGTCACCGGTGACCCCAATGGCATTCAACGTGTTAAAAGAAAATCTAGACACTGACTAAACATCAAAACAACATCCATCATATGTTATAATCATGGTCTCACTGTCGCATAATGAAAATGGCTGTTTTTGGACAAAACTTGATAACTTAAAAAGTAGCTGATACGAAGAAATGCTTTAGACAAAAGTTGTAAGGTATAGAGGTAAATATACGAAGGTTATATTTTCTTTACATTTACATTATCAAGATTGAATTTAGTCTATTCTAATTTACTCTAACATTGAAGAAACCACTGCACTACAAGCAAAATATAAAATTCCCGATGGCACAGGATGTTTTAAAAGACACCAAGACTTTCTGACGATTAACTGACTGACTGACTGACTGACTGAACTCTCTGACGGAGGTTGTCTGAATTTATTCTTGAACTTGTTCCTGATTGAACTTGTTCGTCACTGAACTTGATTGCTAATTGAAATTACTCTATTGTAATTTAATCTTTGATTGAAAAATTCAGTGCACTACAAGCAAAATATAAAATTCCCGATGGCACGGGACGTTTTAAAAGACCCCGAGACCCCGAGCATTTCGAAACGCGAACTCGTGCAGAAGCTTATTTCGCAACATTTCATATCTGTCACGCGTTTAACGTTGCCTATTTGTTAGCGGCCGCTCGAGCCTGTCAATTGGATAGTCAAAAAACGTCAGAAACAGGTCGGCTCGTTGGACCTCGCAGCGTTGATCAAATCTGCTAGATCGACCGACCGCTCGAATTTCCCGCCGGTCAACTTTCCCGCCGATTTTCCGGCGCCGCGCATCCGTTCGCGCGTATAATTGAATTTTTAATACGCGAACGCCGAAACGCTTGTCAGATTACTA